AAGGACAGTTAGCTCATTGTTTTTCTGCTTTTCTTAATGCTGGTATTTGAAGTCACAATTTCTTTTTGTTGTTGTTGTTGTTGCATCACACAATTTGTGATATGTAGTATTTTGTTATCATTCAGTTCAAATAGCTTCTAGTTACCATTTTGATTGGTTGCCATTTTGATTTTTTTCCTTTAATTTCTGAGTGCATTGCTTAATTTCCAAACATTTGAACATTTTCTAAATGTCTCTATTTAAAATTTCTGGTTTTATCCAATTGCAATCCTATACCATAATCTGTATTAATTAAATTCTTTATAGCTGATTAAGACTAGCTTTACGGCCCAGCATAAAGTCTGATGAGCATTCCATGTGTACTTGAAAATAACGAACATTTCACAATCAGGTGCCATGTTTTAGAGGTGTCTTCTGTAGGCAGCATGTCGTTTTGCTTTAAATAGTCTGATCATGTCCATTGACTAAGTGCAGCATTTTTGTCCATTTACATTTAATGTAACTACAGACATGCTTATGTTTCCACCAGCTTTATGCGCTCTAAGGTGGTTACAGGCACAGTGCCATCATCGTTGTTCTGTGCTTGACTGCATTCCAACTTAATTGTGTTCTCAGCCTGAAGGCTCCCACCCCCACCCCCCGCTGGCTGGTCCTCCAGGCACAATGCATGGCAAACTCTGAGGTGGCACCGAGTTCCCATGACTTCCAGTAAAAAAGGGCCAGAGATCGGCATGCATAGCCACTTGAATCACACGGGAGATTTCTTTGTATTGGGCACCAGGTCAAGGTGTACTCAGCTCACCTGGACACAGGGGTCCATGGCCTCCACCACCTCCCACGGGTCTTTGAAGTTGTAAGCCCTGCCAGCATGTGCTCAGCTTGCCACCTGCAATTCTCCGGGTCCTGATGACTCACCTTGAACCAGCTCCTGGCAAATTCAATCTGCACATTTTAGAGGAAAACATTTTAAAAGCTTTGGACCGTCCTCCACTGCGTTCCCAGGTCATAGGTAGGGAGCTGGATGGAAGTAGAACAGCCAGGGCATGAACCGGTGCCCGAATGGGATCTCTGAATTTGCAAGGGGAGAATTACACTGGGAAATCCCACGCTTTGGAATTTGACTTCATGAATGAAATTATTTTAAAGTATTGCATGTAATTACCCTCAGTAGATTATAGATGAGACATCAATGAATTTTATATTCAGCCTTGGTCTCACCCCCGAGACATCTCTTCACGATGTGTGTGCAAATATTTCTAAATCTGCTTCTCCTCCAGATCCCAAATCCCAAGCCCTCTAGTCTGATTTCAGCCTCTGGCGCCATCTGTCCTCTCTGTGTAACTACACTGCACGTGCCCAATCCCGCCTGTGGAGACCTCGGTCCCTGTCCCTGTTTAACATCTAATAAATACTCAATAAATCAGTATTGAGAGAAGAGCCCGATTCGAAATCACTTCAATAAACCACAGGCCACTGAGATCCAGGTTATGGACAAGCTCCAGCCCTTGGCCCCCAAGCCTGCTTGTAGTTGCCAAGCCACAGTCAACTCAGAACTTCTCTCCCAAGGGAAGCCCGGCTATGGCCGGGGGCTGTTAGTGAAGGCCAAGCATGAGGCAAGCCCAGCCAGATCTGCACCAAAGTCTCCCGCACATGAGAGGGCCACGTCAGCCACATGTGTGTTTTCTGTGAACTGGCAGCGCTAGCTGTTGGCATTGCTGCGCACAGAACAAGGGGTTTACAGAATGCGTTGTTTAGTTCCAGCACTGCCGGTTCTGCCACCAGCAAGCCCCGCGCTGACGGTTTCTCTCCACAAGAGGGAGCTAGTCAGCAGGGAAACGAAAAGGCTGCGGGAAACGCTGAAAGATTGTTGTGAAGTTTCCTCCTTTCTTTGATTTTGTTACCATGGAGGAAAACAGTTCACTGTTAAAAAATCCTGAGAACCGAACATCGAAGGCATCAGGATGATAATGAGCTTTTCGATTCATCTCTTATCTTCAAGAGAAGGTTGGAATTCTTTTGTCAGTATTGCGTCACATTCCGAACGGTTTGCAGTAGGACAGCTCCTGAATTGCATTAGGGAATATAACTTCCTAAGCAATAACAGGGACCCCGCTGCATCCTTGGCGGGGGCCGCTGGGAGATGACTGTCACTCAGAGTGACGGCTCTCTCCTGGAGGAGGTATTTTCCAGTTCATACTGTCATGAAAATCAGCACCGAAAGAAAACATTTTAAAATGCAGGCCATCAGATCACTGCAGACGAACAGTTAGACCAGCATTTGAAAGGCTCGCATGCCATGTCCCAGGGCCTGGAGTTGAGTTCTGCCTCTACTTTCTATCCAGCTTCCTGCTAACACGCATGGGAGGCAGCGGGTACTGGCCCATGACACACACATGCAGGAGACCCTGGCTCCTGGACTTAGGGCTTGGGCCAGAGCTGGCTGTTCAACGCATTTGGAAAATGAAAGAGTGGATAGTCTGTCTCTTCCGCCCCCCCCTTTCTCCTCCTCATCCCTGCTTTTAAAAATAAATAAAATAATTATTTATCAAAAGCACCTAAAATAACACGCCATAAAAAAAAACTCACAGAGAACATGAAGAGACAGTTCACAGACAAGAAGCAGCTGGAAAAAGAGATTTGAATGTGTGAGGATGCGAAACTCACACACGAAGAATCAAAGAACGGCTTGATGACAGGTCCTCCGGGCTGTGGAGGGCGGCGAGGAGCCACATTCTGCGCCACTGATCAGCATGTAAAGCAGCAAAATATCTTCGGATTGCAGTTTCATAACGTCCATCAAAACTGCAAAGGCACAGACTGCGAGCTCCAACACTTCCACTGTGGGGATTTCTCCTACAGAAATATTCCCCTAAAAGTTAGTACCCACCTGCCATGAAAATTCCATTAGGGCAATGCATGAAGAGAAACTGTCAGCCGATCTGATTTAGGTAAGGAAATATGAGCAAAGTGAATCCAATGATGTTTTCAAATCATGTCGGAAGGAATACAGTTCAACCCCCCCCCCCCAACCCCCCCCCCCGCCAAGTGCAAGTATGCCTGCCAGTATCCTTAGCTGTAAACAGCACCAACGGTTCATATGCAGCTCAGCAGAAAATAAGCAGAACTGAGACGATGTTGGGTAGCTCGCTATTTTTTCAGAAAACAGGTGGACCAAGAAGCCATGGGGCGGTGGTGTCATGGCGTAGTAGACTAAGCCTTCTTTGGCAGTGCCGATATCCCGATATGGGCGGAGCTAACCAGATCCAGGCTGATTTGCCTAAGAAAGCAGCATTCCTTAAATCCCTGCACCCATGTGAGAGAAACAGAAGAAGCTCCTGGCTCTGGTTTCAGAGCGGCTCAGCTCCAGCAGTTTTAGCCATTTGGGGAATGAATCAGTAGATGAAAGATCTTTTTCTCTCTTTCACACTATAAGTCTGCCTTTCAAATAAATGTGGCTTTCTATATTTTTTCAAAGATTTATTATTTTCATTGGGAAGTCAGATTTACAGAGAGAAGGAGAAACAAAAAGATCTTCTATATGCTGGTCCACTCCCCAATTGGCCACAATGGCTGCAGCTGAGCCAATTTAAAGCCTTGCTTTGCATGCGCTGGAATCCCATAGGGGTGCTGGTTCGTGTCCTAGCTGCTCCACTTCCCACCCAGCAGCCTGATATGGCCTGGGAAAGCAATCAAGGACGGCCCAAAGCCTTGAGACCTTGCACCCACGTGGGAGACTCGGAAGGACTCCTGGCTCCTGGCTTTGGATCGACCCAGCTCTGGCCATTGCAGCCGGTTGGGTAGTGAATAATCAGATGGAAGATCTTCCTCTCTCTCTCTCCTCCTCTCTGTATATCTGACTTTCCAATAAAAATGAAATAAATCTTAAAAAAAGAAGAAGAAGAAGCTACATAATTGGGCAAGAGATAGCCAGGAAGCCCGCTTGCTGAAGATCCCAGGACTAGCATGTTAGTCTGGTTTTCTGAACCCCAAGCACCAGAATGAAAACCAGTAATGGGTACATTTGATTGGACAAATCTGTCATGTGTCTGCTAAAGCAGGTAGGGGAGATGGGGAACTAGCAAGTGGCATTTCTAGGCTCAAACTTAGAGGCAGGCCCTCTCTAATCCAGGAGCTAAGGAAAGCCCTCAACATGGGAAGGAGGCTCAGGGGTTGGGCCTAAAGCACAGCCCAGTCCTCCACTGCCAAGTGTCCCCAGGAGCAGATCCAAGTATGCTGGCCACACAACAGGTCTAACAGGAACCCACGTGCTCCCTCTGCTGTTGTGGGGAAAAGAACTGCATTCATATTCATTTGAAAGTCTGTATTTAAAGAAACCAATAAATACTGCTTTGATTTTTTTTTAAGATTTATTTATTTTGGGGCCTGGTGCGATAGCCTAGTGGCTAAAGTCCTCACCTTGCATGCACCAAAATCCCATGTGGATGCTTCTTCATGTCCACCTGGCCCAACTCCAGCTGTCTCAGCCATTTGGGGTGAATTTTCTGTCTCTCCTCTCTTTTTGTCCATCTGCATTTCAAAGAAATAAATATTTTCTTAAAAAAATAATTACAATGAACCAGGGAATGTCCATTGGTAAGGATATGGATGAGTAAATGGTGCTACTTACTGTTGATGTAATATTATTAATTAAGAAATGGTGATTTGGTAGTACTTCCACAAAGTATTGTAAAGTAAGAGAAGCCAGGTGTAAAAGACACAACCTCCTCTTGCAAAGCCAAGACAAACCCCCACATGTAAAACAAATGGATAGATTTTTTCCAAGGTACTCAGCTGCACCCTGGGGCAAGGGAGGGAGAGGGGAGGAACATTTATATGAATACAAAAACATCTAGCAAAGTAAAATTCTCAATGTCTGACATCTAAGCAAAAATTACCAGACATACAGAAAATGCAAAGCATCATGAACAACAACAACAAAAAAATCAATCAAAGCCGAATCAACCATCAGAGCTAGAAGACAAGGACATCAAAACAGTTACTACACTGCGTTTCTTATGGTCAAAAAGTTCAAGATAGAGAGACATGGAAGATATAAAAAAAAAGGCTCCATAGTGAACTCCTAGAGATGAAAATGCAGCCATCAGTAGCTAGGAAGATGTCCGGTAGGAAACATACAAACTTAAATAATTGAGAACTGAAAGAAAGTGTCGTCAGTGAACTGTGGGACGCGCAGAGATCTGATAGGTATGAAGTTGAAGTCCCAGAGGAGAGGGAGAGTGAGGACAAGACGGGAAAAACGATTTGGAAAAAAATATGGCCGAAAAATGATCAAAGGTGCTGAAAACCAGAAGCTCACAGACCCAGGAAGATCAATGAAAAGGCCGGCATAAGTAACCGGAAGGAAACCAGCGACAATGAGGCTCTGGCCACCAGCCACATGAATGAACTTGGACAGGGCCCTCCAGCCCCAGTCAGGCCTATAGGGTCAGCTGTCCAGTCAACGTTTTATTTACACGTTCATTTTTTAAATTTAATTTGAAAGTGAGAAGGAGCGAGAGCGCTCCCATCTGCTGAGCCACTTCCCAAATGCTTGCAACAGCTGAGCGAGGCTGGGCCTCCCACATGGGTGGCAGGAACCCACGTGCTTGAACTGTCACCTGCTGTCCCCTAGGGTGCTGTCATTGGGAACCCAGCTGAGACTGGAACCCAGGTACCCAGATACGGGATGTGGGTGTCCTAAGTGGGATGTTCATGGCCACACCAAGCACCAGCCCACGTCCAGCCAATGCATTGACTATAGCCTCAATAGAGACCCCGAGGTGGAGGGGTAAGACACTCCTGAATCCCTGATGCATGGAAGCTGGGAGGTGCCGGGTGTCAGTTGCTTGGCCTGCACACACATACACCTCACAGAATCTCCCATTTAAAAGCTAAACAGGAGTCATTTCAGCTCTGTGCATACTCTGAAAAAAGAGAAAAGCAAAAAAGCCAGATCTCGAGTTTGGAATAATCCTCTTCCTGGATCTTCAAGAATCCACATCTCCAGTTACAAAATGAGCAGCTGCTCCTGGCAGAGGTAGACTTCTTGAATCCCATATGTGCTTTCAAGACCAAAGGAAATGAATAAATCTCCTAGAGAGAGGGAGGGAGAGAGAGAGCAAGACAGCCAGCCAGTCTGACAGATACAGGTCACCCATCCAATGGTTCATTGCCACATCATGTGAGACTTGGGGTTTCTCTTAGACTCTCAGCAGGCCACATGGAGGACTGTTGGACAGGCGTTAACACACCTCTGTTCCCCTAGAATAGAGAAAGAACCCTTGCTGGAAGTGCTTGCTATAAGGGGACTGTCCCTTGTGCCACCATGTGTGGGTACAGATGGGGAATGACAGCTCTTCATGTTCAATGAAACCAGTGGCACCAGCGTTTAACACTCTTCAAATAATCCCACATCACCTTCCCTCTAGAGTCTAAATTTAACCCCAACTAGCTATTCAGGCTGTTCGGCTCTGAGCCACCCCATCGCGGCCTGAAGTTAAACCCTCCACTGCCAAGTGCTCACAGTTTTTTTCTGGTTCAAGGTCATGTGTGCACTTACGATTTATACTATCTATAGCTGGAAACATTTCACTTAATAGGGGAAAAAATGTCACTCCAGCCTTGGCACCACCAAGGACCCCACAAAATTACCCGATTCTGGGATTCCTTTAGTCAGTCTCCATACGCCCTGCACGGGACCTCCACATCATGAATAGACAGTGTGGCCCTAGTCCAAGCCTCAGGCTCCCTATCTCGGGTTGCTGCTGGGAAAGCACCCCTCACGTACACCCCACCAGAGACGAGCACACCCCTGATGACTGTACCCACACACACCCTGGCCAAATGGATCCTAGCACGCCAATAGAGTCCCAGCCAAGACAACGTGGACAGCACCACTCTTTCTACACCCAGGCCATTGAAGCCTGACAGACCTCCGCAGGACTTGGCCATGGGACTCAGAGGGGGCCGCTCTCAATCTCCCCATGACAGCCTCTTGGCTTGACACTGTACTGAGCCAATATTCTCTGTGCCTGCCATGAGCCTCCCGCCTGCCATCCAATACATCCTGGGAGGCTCCATGACACCTGCCAGGGAGCCCTGGCTGGCTGCAGTGTGTGTGCACACCCGCTACAACATCACTAGAGCTGTCAACAACCTTACTGTCTTCTGGCCACATAGCTCCCCTGGAGCTGAGCTGAGCCCTGTAGCCTCCTGGGCTGGAGCCACTGTGATTTCTATGGGAACAGGGATTTTTCCACCACTATGGGGACAGTGATCTTGCCTACCACACTGCCTATTACCATCCTCACCCCCCTCTTCCACCTCAGGTGCAGCCTCCGGGGTCTCCCCCACCACAGATGAGGACCACTCAGCCCCTGTCTCATTGTCTCCTCTTCAGAGATCTGGAGCCCCAGTATTTTCCTAAAGTGGTTGACGTCAGAGCCATGCTTCACAGGAGACGCAGGTGTTGGGCTTGTCGTTATTTCAAACCAAAGCTTCTCCCCGAAGCGGACAGTCTGATCCCTCCTGATTTTGCTTGATTGTCAGCAAGCCAACCCAGGTCCCTGACAGCCAAGTCACTCAGTGTCTAAATGCAGCTTTGTTTCTCTGGGTTACCATGCAGAGTTCATTCTTCACATACCTGCTTTAGATTTAACCCAACCTGGGGACACATGGGAGCTTGCATCACTCTCTGTCTCTCCATGCTTAGAGCTAACACGATCCATCTTGGAGCTTTCCAATGCATCCATGAGAGTAGAGCCTGTTCCTACAGAACCTGGGACTCATCTGCATTTTATTTCCACATCTGCACTCCTTTTGCTATTCCCGCTCCCCTGCCAAATGCAAGGGTGACAACAGTGTCTGGACTCAAGTTCCTAACTTCAAGCATGTCCTCACATCTTTGGGCCCTTCCCTGACATTTTAACTCATAAAGCATCCCATCCTTGACTCCCAGCTGGGCCACGTGCATCCATCCATGGCAAACTGTTTTCCTTCTCATCCTCTTGGGAAGAGGATTGTCATTCTCACTAGGGTGAGTGCTGCCATTCCCTCCATGTGATATAGCAAGTCATTCAGAGAGTGTGTCAGCCTTGGTGGCTGATAGACACTGGTTCCTGCACAGCCTTGCCCTGATGCAATGCTCACATGATGGCCAGCCCAGATGGCATTAAGTAATCGCCTCACCCGCATGTTGTCTGTGTGTGTCTCTGTGTCTTCACATTGTTAAAGGGGTGTATAGGGGGTGGGGGTGGTTCTGCACCATCTGGGGAGCAACCTGCTCCATGCACATAAATAACTCTGGTCCAGTGCAAGCCAATCTAAAAGCTGGAGCTCAACAAGCATGAATCTCTCATAACCCTATCCAGGTCTGCAACAGTCACACTCTGGCTCCCGTGGAAGGTTGTGACCTGTTGGTCTGTCCTGACCTGCACAATGGCACGCATGGCTGCACGCAACAGGTGCCTTCCGATTGCTTGTGTGGGTAAGGACACTCACTGCCTTCAATGTGTCCATTACTCAGACGACACCGTCACTAAGCTCTAAGTCCACACCCAGGCCTGACTTTATCAGCCTTCAGGCTCTGCACATGAGAAAGGGAGGACGACACCAAAAACCAGAAACAAACAAATGAAATCAGTTTTACTGCAGTGTTCTACCAAGCTTTGTTTTGGATCTTTGTTAGACAAATTGCTAAGAATTACATGTTACTATAGCCTTAAGGATCTGACGAAGCCAATACCACGGCATAGTAGGTTAATTCTTTGGCGTCACAAGTGACTGATGGTTCGAATCCTGGCTGCTCCACTTCCAACCCAACTCTCTGCTAATGCGCTCTGAAAACAGCAAAAGATGGCCCAAGTGCTTGGGCCTCTGCACCTACATGGGAGACCAAGAAGAAGCTCCTCGTTCCTGGCTTCAGATGGACCCAGTTGCAGCCAATGAGGTCATGTGGGGAGTAAACCAATGAATGGAAGATCTCTCTGTCTTTCCTTCTCTCTGTAACTCTACCTTTCAAATAAAAATAAATAAATCCTAAAAAATATATGTATATAATAAAAGAAATTGTGACTACTTTTTTTTTAAAGATTTATTTTTATTATTTTTTTATTGGAAAGGCGGATATACAGAGAGGAGAGACAGAGAGGAAGATCTTCCATCCGATGATTCACTCCCCAAGTGAGCGCAACGGCCGATGCTATGCCAATCCGAAGCCAGGAGCCTCTTCCGGGTCTCCCACGCGGGTGCAGGATCCCAAAGCTTTGGGCCGTCCTCAACTGCTTTCCCGGGCCACAGGCAGGGAGCTGGAAGGGAAGCGGGGCTGCCAGGATAGAACCGGCACCCATATGGGATCCCGGGTGTGCAAGGCTAGGACCTTAACCACTGCGCCACCGCACCGGGCCCAAGAATTTGTGACTACTTTAAAACTGACTATATGTGAATAAACTTTGTGTATTTTTCATTTGATCATTGTTTATAGCCTCGGCTTATGTCCTGCTAAACTATGGTCTTACAACTTTGTGTCTGCTGAGTTCTTCATTTAGTAGAGTATGAAGCATTTGCAGCATAAATTCAGAATGTGTTAAGCATGTTGTCTCAAAAATAATAAATTATGAAGTTGAAAAAAACATCATTATTAGAAAAAAAGAAACAAAGAAAGTGAAAGCCATTACCAAGCTGTAAACTGTATTGTTGACAAGTGTCACTGACAAATGTGGTCAGAGAGGTGAAGATGTCCCCGTATTCACACAGCTCCTTCTGCGCCCACCCGGTGCTTGGGAGTTTTTGGTTTGTTTGGGTCGGGATTTGTTCCAGGAGCTTAGCTGGCCACAAAGCCAACAGAACAGGGCTCCAGAACCACACACAACTGAGGATACAATTTACAGTCAGAGTTCAGAAAACAAACAGCAACGGTGACTCGGCACACCCATTGTGTCCGGGGAAGGGGATGATGTGATGTGCGCATCTGCCACACAATACTACATGAGACATACAGCTTTCAGCAAAAATTATAAAGTGAACAAAGACACGGGCAAGTGGAACTGACACGCAGGAGGCCAAGAAGCCGAAACAAGTTGGTAGGCAGCAGCTCAGACACGGTGCTGGCGTTCAAGTAAAATAAGTCTTTTTTTTTTAAATGGTCAATTTGATGTCACATGAGTTTTACTTTGATTCATACAAAAACATTCACAACCATACACAAAGCAGCATCGTGCGTTTCTTTCAGCAGGTGGATCCGCAGTGTCTATAAATATCTAACTGGGATGCCCGCCAAGCTAACACCAAGAGTAACATGGGAGAGGAAATTGCGAAAACCAAGTAAATTTGGGGTTTGAAACAGGTGAATTCTTACAAGAATAGATCCATGTTGTTCATATTTAATTAAAAATCTACTATTTTAATAGAACAGTTAAGTCAATGATATGAGCTATAGGGTATGGAGGACTACCCGGGAGAAATTCTCATGAAACAGGAACTTTCCATTTTAGGTGCTTCTGCTCATTGAAATTTCAGCAACAGGCGTGTACTATATTTACAATCAGGGGGGAAAAAATCAAGCAAGAAGAGCACAGGAAGCTAGGGGAAAATCGACGAGAAAATAGTGACCCGGGAGAGAGACCTGGGGAATGTGGCAAGAAACGGGAAGCTTGCGCTACCCCAGATCCACATCTGCTGTTCTTTGGAATATCCGCGAAACTGTGATCGCATGAGGGTTGGCAAGTGTCTCCAAGGATGGCAGAGAAGGCCACGCCCACAGCCCCTTGAAAATGATCTCTCTATTTATGCTCATTGGAAAGACAGTTTGCAGAGAGAAGGAAAGACAGAGAGCTCTTTCATCCACTGCTTCACTCCTCAAATGGCTCCAGCGGTTGGGGTTGAGCCAGTCTGAAGCCAGGAGCCAAGAGCTTCTTCTGGATTTCCTACATGGATGCAGGGTCCCATCCTCCACTGTTTTCCCAGGCCACAAGCATGGAGTTGGATGGGAATGGAGCAGCTGGGACATGAACTAGCGCCTCTATGGGATGCTGGCACTTGGAAGTGGAAGATTAACTAGTTGAGCCATTGCGCCAGACCCAGATGTGATCTCTCTGGGATTTGATAGTTTGATTCAGGCCTTACAGTAGCTGCAACCAACGTCTGCTCAGCCTGATGAAGCAGCACTAGAGGAAGTGGCAGGCTGCAAAGAGGCTAGCCAGACTCCCCAGTGAACAGTGATGTAGCCATGGTAGGAGGCAACAGGCACCAGGAGGAGCTAGGAGTGGTGCATGGTCCTACCAGCTGCCAGCACCCGGCAGGTGCTCAGGCAGAAGACAGAATGGTGAAACGCATGCTAACCCTAGAGCCAGAGTGACCTTCCAACTCCCAGCATCTCTGTGCCTCCTGCCTTGGCACTCCCAGCCTTAACTGGCATTGCAGGAGGCATGGCTGCACAGAAGCAGCACTGCAGTGCACAGGGCTTTTGTGGGACACAAGGCTTACATGATGTGCAAAGCCTTCCTCTGAAAAGCCAGCCACAAATCACAGGGAGAAAGCATTTAGTATCTAGCTGGAATTAAAAGAGTCACAGTTTAAGAATTTCTTAAAAGTTGGCCAAGTGTTGTGCAGTGGATTAAGCCTTAGCATACAACGCTGTCATCACATATCTGGGTGCTGGTTAACCGCCAGCTGCTTTGCTTTCAAGCCAACTTTCTGGTTATGTGCCTGTGGAAACAGCAGAGGATGGCCCAAGTGCTTGGGCCCCTGCACCCACATGGAAGACCTGGATAGAGTTCTAGAATCTCTCGGGCTTTTTAGCCTCATCCAGTTTCTGTAACTCTGCCTTGCAAATAATAATACTCTTTTTTAAGAGCCACCAAATTTCTCAAAAACAACAATGTTTATGCTAACTATCCCACTTCTCTACCATTTTTTCCTGTATCTCAGCCACATCAATTTTAGTACTTCTTCATATGATTTTTTAAAAGCATTGTTTGCTTTTTTATTTGAAAGATTTATTTATTTTTATTACAAAATCAGATATACAGAGAGGAGGAGAGAAAGAGAGGAAGAGCTTCCGTCCAATGAGTCACTCCCCAAGTGAGCACAACGGTCAGTGCTGTGCCGATCCGGAGCCAGGAACTTCCCCCAGGTCTCCCAAACAGGTGCAGGGTCCCAAAGCATTGGGATGTCCTCGACTGCTTTCTTAGGCCGCAAGCAGGGAGCTGGATGGGAAGTGGAGCTGCCGGGATTAGAACTGGTGCCTACATGGGATCCTGGCGCGTTCAAGGTGAGGACTTCAGCCACTAGGCCATGCCGCCGGGTCCCCTCATATGATTTTTTTTTTTTTAAGATTTATTTATTTTTATTGGAAGGGCAGATCTACAGAGAGAAGGGGATGCAGAAATATCTCCTGTCTGTTGGTTTATTCCCCAAGTGGGTGTTGTGCAATGGCCAGAGCTGAGCTAATCCAAAGCCAGGAGCCAGGGACCCACGCGGGTACAGGGTCCCAAGGCTTTGGGCCATCCTCTGCTGCTTTGCCAGGCCACAAGCAGGGAGCTGGATGGGAACTGGAGCAGCTAGGGCACGAACTGGTGCTCATATGGGATCTCAGTATGTACAAGGTGACGATTTCACTACTGAGCCACTGTGCCAGGCCCCCACATATGATCTTTTTAAACATATTTATTTATTTATTTGAAAATTGGAGTTACAATGAGAGGAAGATACAGAGATCTCCCATCTGCCAATTTATTCCACAAATGTCCACAACAGCGAACGCTGAGCCAGGATGAAGTCAGGAACTTCATCTGCGTGTCCCACATGGATGGCAGGGGCCCAGACACTTGGGGGTACCTTCTCCTCTTATTTCCAGGCCATTAGCAGGGAGCTGGACAGAAAGCAGAATGTCTGGGACTTGAACTGGTACTCCATAGGTGGAGTTTAACCCCTGGCCCTGCTCAACACTTTTTTTTTTTAATTATTTACTTATGGACCAGGTGCCGTGACCTAGCGGCTAAAGTCCTCACCTTGATTGCGCCGGGATCCCATATGGGCACCGGTTCTAATCCCAGCAGCTCCACTTCCCATCCAGCTCCCTGCTTGTGGCCTGGGAAAGCAGTCAAGGATGGCCCAAAGCTTTGGGACCCTGCACCCACGTGGGAGGCCCGGAAGAGGTTCCTAGTTCCCAGCTCCAGATCGGCACAGCACCTGCCGTTGCAGCCAATTGGGAAGTGAATCATCAGATGGAAGATCTTCCTCTCTGTCTCTTCTCCTCTCTGTATATCTGACTTTGTAATAAAAGATAAATAAATCTTTAACAAAAAAAAAAAAACTATTTACTTATGAAACACACACACACAGAATGAAAGACAAAGATTCCCAATGGCTAGTTTACTCTCTCAAACAGCTACAACAGTGTGAGCTGGACCAAGCTGAAGGTGGGATCCAGGAACTCCATCTGGGTTTCCCACAGAGGTGGCAGCAGCGTCCTGGGATCTGCACCAGCAGGAAGCTGGAGTCAGGAGCCAGAGCCCGGCCTTGAACCCAGGCACTCAGATACGGGATGTGAGTGTTTTAACCGGTGTCTTAATTGCTAGACTTTGAGATCCACCCCAAGCTCCTCACTTTGCTATTGCCCATTGCCACTTAACTCCTGCTGCTGGAGGCATGTTTCTAACGTGGCAGCATCACTCTCCTTCCCTGACTTCACATCATGACCCAAGGTGAATTCTATGACTGCAGAGTGACAAGGGGCAGTTCCCTGCTTCCAAAGGCAACTGCACCACATGAAAGCTGTGTTGCTCAACCCAAGCCAAGCATGTTCTGACCCAGCCTTCCTTTAGTGCCACCCCCACACCTCCCAGGAAGGGGCAGTTGACAGAGGGAGCCAGAAGACTTCTCCAATTACATCCAAATGGCTTTCACCATTTCACACGAAAGTCTGGGAACACATTCCCACACCACCCTTCAGAAAATCCATACCGGCTGTGTATGGATCCTCCCAGCAATACCACTTACTTATAGGAAGGCCACCCGTATCTCTCTTGACTGCCACCAGCAGGTGCAGGAGCTGGGGACTGAAGGATGTGGACACAGCAAGACTTACAATGCCCGCTGGATCTGCTCATAAAGGGAAGGCATGAGATGGTGGTGGGCATCCCTCCCCGCCAAGCATGGGAATCCAGAAAGCAAGTGACTCGTCCCATCCCCAGAGAGGCGAGGCAGGGGAACAGGAATGTGAGGTGTAGTTCAGCTTTGGGCAAGCAGCACCTGAAAGTGGAGATGGGCGGGGTCCCCTGGGTATGCCTAACAGTTAAGGGCGGAGCTGGAGCCCAGAGTGACCCAAGTGATGGACCACTGATCTGGTCAAGACCAGGACCACGAACATGCGAACCATGAGTGAAGCCGTTAGAACGGGGGACTGCCTGGAGAATGATGAGCAGTGTCTCAAGGTGAGAATGGGGTTGCATGGGCTTGATGGATGGGGCCAAAAGCACAAGAGAAAGCAGGGGTCCGTCTTCCTCCGGCCCAGCCCCTTTTCCTATCAGGTCCCAGAGGTGGGGCTTGGAACAGAAAGGCGGTCTGCTGAGCTTCTCCATGCTTTTCCTTTGCCCTCAAGCAGTTGGAGAAGGCAGCCACAAAGATCCAGTCATGGTGGCGTGGCAACGTGGTGCGCAGGACATTACTGCACATGGCACTCAGGGCCTGGATCATCCAGTGCTGGTGGCGGTCCATGCAAGCCAAGATGTTGGAGCAGAGACGGCGCCTGGCGCTGAAACTCTACACCTGCCAGGAGTGGGCGGTGGTGAAGGTGCAGGCGCAGGTCCGAATGTGGCAGGCCCGCAGGCGGTTCCTCCAGGCGCGCCAGGCAGCCTGTGTCATCCAGTCACGTTGGCGCGGGCATGCCAACCACTCCCGGGGCCTGATTCGGGGCCACTATGAAGTCAGAGCCAGCCGGCTGGAGCTCGACATCGAAATCCTCATGACCTAGATCTCTGCCCTTTCTCCCTGCCCCCAATAAAGACACTTAACCTCATGTTTGGCCCCCTGACTTTCCTGCCATGCACGTGGCAAGATTCCCCAGGGTAGTCTGGAACCATTGACCCCAGAACACCCACCTGGGCACCTGCCACTACTGGTGCCCCCTGTTGATCCAGCATCCTCAGGGCCCCATGTCAAGCTCTTGGCACTTCCGCTGGCCTGACTCTGGCTGCTTCCACAGCAGTAGACTGAAGACTCTGCCTGGACATCCACATTCACAATAAGACACCCAGAGGTAACAGGCTCTGGCGGTAGCCAGCAACAGCTAGGAGGCCAGGAGTTCAAGGCTCATGCTGGAGGGGCCCGTGGGGCTAGGGCAGGGCTTGGCAAGGACTCTTCCCTTCCCCTGGACAAGGACAGGCACCATGGCTGCTGGAGGAGGCCACAGCTTGGGCTCCAGGGTCTCCCTCTGGTGGATCCTACACTAGGGGTGGGTGCAGGGGTCAGGAGTCTTCCTAGGTTTCACACAGAGCAAGGCTTTCCCCAGCCGTTAGCTCTGTGTGTGTATGTGTGTGTGTGTGTGTGTGTGTGATTTTACCCTCATACTGGCCCCACCTCCAGGCCAGCCTGATTGGGCTTACCGCTATCTCAGTAGCCATCTGTGCACACAAGCACTCCCCTCCCTGCAGAGCATCCATGGTGATGACTGTCCCCTCCCCGCACTTCCACGCCCTGGCATAAAGAAGTTCTTGATCAGTTTTGTTTGTACAAAGCTGGAATTGTTCAAGTTCAGTTCCAGTGAGCAGTCTAGAAGCAAGAGCTTCTTATGCAAAGAGCTGCAAGGGAAAAAACAAGAATGTATGCCCCGGATTCCTGCAGCTGGGCTTTCACACTAAGTATCAATAAGGAGCCTAGCATAGGGTTTGGCCTTCAAGAGTGACCTTGAATCTTCAGAGTGAAAATGGCACTATGAATGCATATGTTGGGTATAGCAAGTATGAGCCAGGACCCCCGCCTCCCAGACAAAGCAGGCAGTAAGTGCTAAGCTGGAGTGTGAACAGGGTGGCGGAGGAGGCTTGGGGGGAACTCATGGATGGGGGAAGTCACACAGGGCCACACAGGAAGGGACAAGTCCACCATGGCCCTGGGACAGAGGGGAAAGGGCCTGCAGCCCCTCCCTGGGGGAAAACATGAAGGTCTCTGAGGATACACCCTAAGGGGACTGCATTGCTCACAAGCAAACAGCAGCGCAGGCCAAGGGAGGTGCCACTGGCAGATGTGGGGGCTAGCCCCATGTGCCCAGAGCTTCCTCTTTGGGGGTGAAAATAGTCACAGGGGAGGCAAGAAGGACTGGAAGGATGAGTGCTCCCAAAGAGGGCTAGGATGGGGACAAGAAACTGCAGACACTGGGGACCTCACTCCCTGCCCCTAGCACCAACGCAGGCAGCATGGGCATAATGGGCTGAGGTCTGGGGGGTAGGTGGGTCATCAGTTGGGAGTGAGCTGAAGACAAACAGCACCCATGTACAAGCAAGACCTGCAAAAATCAGCCCAGAAGAGGAAGTGGGGCCATGAGCAGGACATAGCTGGAGCTGAGGGACGACTACTTGCTCTGCTTTTAGATATGTTTGAAAATTTTCTGCAATAAAAATACGAAAAGAAAAAATGAAAAGAATCTTAGCATAAATGCCATTAAGAATAAAAATTACTCTAGTAATTTCTCTATCAGTTAAGAGTTGCATGGAGGGATGGTGCCACAGTCATTCCCGCACCTACACAGCCAGAAAGAGAATCAGTTCATGGGGGCCTGGGCGTGTGGGTTTGCAGAATCTAGGGGTTTAGCACTGGCAGGGTGTGCAGGGACCTGGGGGTTCACATCCAGACAAGTGGAGTGAGCCTGGGAATCTCCCCATATGCTTGGTCCCAGGCAGGGGAGGGGAAAGCCCCAGGTTAGCGTGCTAGCCTGGTGTGCTGGTGGACTAGGCCTGGGGAACCTTGAACGGGCTTGGATCTTAGGTGTGTAGAAAGGTATGATCTCAGTTCAGCACATGTGCCAGGAGTTTGGGATCCTGGTGGACGGGCAGAGCTCCAAACCAGCACACCATCCAGGGCTTTGGAAGGCTAGACTAGGGAACCCACGTGTTCCTGGACACAGAGACTGTGGGAAGAGGAAAGACTGCTAAAGAAGTGTGTTGCAGGTGAGGAATGACTTTTTTTTTTAAGATTTATTTTATTTTTATTGGAAAGGCAGATATACAGAGAGGAGGAGAGACAGAGAGGAAAGATCTTCCATCTGTTGATTCACTCCCCAAGTGACTGCAACAGCCGGTGCTGCACCGATCCGAAGCCAGGCACCAGGTACTTCCTCCAGGTCTGCCACATGGGTGCAGAGTCCCAAGGCTTTGGACCATCCTCAACTGTTTTTCCAGGCCACAAGCAGGGAGCTAGATGGGAAGCAGGGCTGCTAGAATCAGAACCGGCGCCCATATGGGATCCCGGGAGTGCAAGGCGAGGACTTTAACCACTACGCTATGATGCCGGGCCCGAGGAATGACTTCTGAGGGACTCCCAACAACAAAGCCACTGTACTTGTAGGTATGTAAGGGGACTGAGACTGGACGGTTTGGAGGGAAGAAGCTGGAGGACCTTTATGGGTCAGAACTGCTCTAAGTTAAGGGTAAATAATTTGGCAGCCAAGAATAATCTCTAAAATTAAACAAATCAAATATAAAAAGTTGAATGCAGAGTTAAAACTAAATACTAAGATGACTGCATTAATCCAAAGAAGGCTACAAAAAAAAAAAAAAAACAGAAACAGATGGAACAAACACAAAGCAAATAGCACAACACTATTGAATATCAATAATGATAATGACTGTAAATGAACTAAACACTCTAAACACTCTGTTTAAGAGGAAGGTATCAGCAGACTGGGTTAAACACAGGTGCAAACAGTAAGACTCAATACACATTTTAGGAGGCCAATGTTGTGATATAGTGGATTACACCACTGCAGAGCAGGCATCCTGTATCAGATCGCCGGTAAGAATCCTGGCTGCTCTGCCTCCAACGGCAGCACAAGATGGTCCAAGCAGATGGATTCCAGCCATCCATATGGAGACCCTCCTGGCTCCTGACTCTAGCCTGGGCCAGCATTGGTTATTGTGGCCATGCTGGAAGTGAACCAGCAGATGGAAAATTTCTTTCTCTGAATCGCATCCTGCCTGTAGAATAAATAAATCTTTTAAAAAGACAGCATTTAAAACACAGCCACAGATAGATTGAAAGAGTAACAACAGAGTAAACTAGACCACGCAATCACTAATCCAAGAAAAAAGCTTGGCATAGCCATATTGGTTTCAAACATTGACTTCAAAGCAAGAACTGTAACTACAACTAATGATTGGCAACTCACACATGATAGAGAGCATTAAAAATCCTAATCACGTTCACACCTAAAGACAGCTTCACAACTGAATCAGAAACAGAAGCAAAGGGGGAAACAGACAACCCAGAATCAGCGTTTGAAGCATTAGTGTTCTTTCTCAGTCATTAGTAAAAGTGGACACAGTAAGATGGTAATGTAGACTTGAAAGCATCACTAATCAATTACATCCAAATAAAAAGCAGATTATTAAATGTAAGAACCACAGCAATGCAAATTTTTTTAAAAAATTAAGTTTTATTTCTAATAGTGTTTACATAGTTGAGAGGGATACACTCCTATGTGGGCCTCTGATTAGGGAGAGGAGGGTTGAGGTATGAAAGAAAGTGGGTGGGACAAATGTTTCAGTTCTTTTTATTCTCTTAATCTGCTGGGGTAGGGAGAGAAGGGAAACGTATATAGAGAGAAGAGACAGAAAGAAAGATCTTGCATCCATTAGTTGGTTCACTCTGCAAGTGGCCACAGTGGCTGGAGCTGAACCATTCCAGAGCCAGGAGCCAGGAGACTGTTCCCGGTGTCCCATGTGGGTGCAGGGTCTTAGGTGTGTAAGACAAGGACTGTAGCCACTACGCTCTGCACCGTGCCCAGAAGAACCCTTCTGATATAATTTGTATGAATGTTGGTACAATTGGTTCAGTTGTAACAGGAAAAAAGTGCAGATGCAAGTAGACATTATGTGATGGCAGAGTAAGTCACCACCTCAGATGCTTGCACATAATATAGGAAGGCTTGCAATCAAGTCCTGTCTCATTTATAAGTGAAATCTAAAAATATCAAAACTCACAGAAGTCTAGAGTAGAAGAATGATTGCCAAGGCTTACCTGGAGCATAACGGAAGATGGGAATGTAGAGATGTTGGCCCATGAATACAGCTTTTTCAGGCACACAGAATACACGATGGAGAGTTAGGGTACGGAGTGCCTAGGGTTCTTAGCTATATGTTGTGTGATTGAAAAGTGCTCAAAGAGGGGCCAGCACAATAGCTCAACTGGCTAATCCTCAACCTTGCACTGTTGGCAGGATCCCATATGGGCCCTGGCTCATGTCCCAATTCCTCTACTTCCCATCCAGCTTCCTGCGGATGGCCTGGAAAAGAGTGGAGGTTAACCCCAAGCCCTGAGGCTCTGCACCCATGTGGGAGACCCAGAAGACACTCCTGGCTTCAGATCAGCTCAGCTCCGGTTGTTGCGATCACTTGGGGAGTGAGTCATCGGACAGAAGATCTTCCTCTCTGTCTCTCCTCCTCTCTGTATATCTGACTTTCCAATAAAAATAAATAAATCTTAAAAAAAAAAAAGAATCAAGAGGTAAGTGACACCTACTGACAGAGTAGGTGGCATCAATGGCCTTCCTCCAGGGGATCTGTAAGTACCTACTGCTAAGGCTGGCTGCAGTGCCAAAATGCCAGGTTGTGTGGTCCATAGCTCCACGGCCAGATGCAGTGTTCATGCTAGTGGTGTGAATCACAAAGCCTCTGTGTACTTGCCAGTTTTGTTACTACAATGAAATACCTGAGATAAGCTACTTAGAAGAGAAAGAAGTTAAATTTTATTCTTGGCTTTGGAGGTTCCCAGTCAGAGAGGGTAACTGCTGGTTCAGCACTGGTGACAGCGCTCTTGCTGGTGGAGCTCCAAGGTGGACAGGGCATCCCAAGGTGAGAGGTCACTTCTAAAGCCATCAGGTCTAATCATGAAACTGTACCTTCATGACTCAGTCCAATCCAATCATCTCTGAAAACTCCACCTCCAAACACCACCATTTGTTTACCTCTTCACCCAGTAACATACACCCCTGGGGACCAAACTTTAAACACAGGAGACCTTTTGGGGGACATTCAATTTGCAAAGGGACACCCAAACCCATTTTCTCCAGGCAGTAGGCACTTCCTATTCGTGGTACAAGAAGATGGACAACTGGTCGACTCTCCTCAGACACTCTGGGAAAATAGAAATGTCTACTTCTCCATCTTAAATTTGGAGGGATCTTGCATGGGACAGCGTATCTTCCATGGTGAAGCGATGTCTGTGAAGTTGGATAACTTAATTCAGTTTTGCTTCACATTCATTTTCTTCAATTAGAGTCAAGTAAAATTAAACCTTCACTAAAAAAAAAAATAGACATATGGTTGCATCCCATTTTTATGAAAGTATTTCCATCTCCCTTCTCTTTCTTAAAGCTGTGCGGGACTCTGTCTAGCGGGCTGCACCAGAAAAACGCCGCTGACGGCTCTGTGCGGGCCGGGCGGCTGGAGCTGATCCTACATCCCTCTGTGCTTTTCTGCAATGCCGAAGCTGTTTAGAAGCGGGGGTGGAGTGATGCAGGGACTGGCTGCAAGGACGAATAAAGCCATTTAAAACCATTTTTCTATTTTAAAAAATCAGACAGCTTGGCAAGAGCCCTTTGGGGATGGGAGGTCTGGGGGGTTGAAGCCTTCAGGTCTCTCTCCCTTCCTTTCCATCTGAACCCCTTGCCGTCTTAGCACCTAAGTCCCTTGGAGCCTGTGGGCGTAAGTGTGCTGGGCTTGTTTGCCTGATGAAACTTGCAGGTGGGGGCATTTTTAGAGTATTCTGAGACTCTTTTAGCGGTGCCTTCTTTCCCTCCTCCCCTCCCAGGACACCCCCATACTCTGGGGGTGGCAGCCAGAGCAGCCAGGCGGGGGTGAGGCCATAGGGGCAGGACAGTTCTGGGTGATGCTGCCTTCCCTTCCCTATGCTCCAGGCCACCTGCACCTTCTGTCCCCAGCACCTTCCTGATTCAATCCCAGCTTCCTCTGGGATTCAGCTGTCCTTCTCAAGGGTCTGCTCAAATGTGGCAGCAGTGGAGGGACAGTCTTCATCACACTGCCTAGGTGACTAGCCTCTGTCCGCCCTGCCATGCCACAGCTTAGGGGACAGAGAGTAGAGTGGTAGAAACCACCTCCATCCCAGCCTACCGTGGGGAGTCCTGGTTGAATAAAGGTGTGCTGGAGAGCAGTCTTTAACGGGCCAGAGAACAGGGACAAGTGGGAAGTGGGGCTGAGCAGCTCCTTGAACAAAGCCACAGAGAAAGATCCAGGTCCCTGCACAAAGCAGCCTGGAGCACTCACCATGAGGACAGCTCTAGGGGGACACCCAGATGCTGGGCATCTTTAAGCCTGAGCTCAACTCTGCTCTGCTACCCACCAAAAATTGGGGTTCTCTACTGAAGACTCTATGGTTAACATCAGCCGACCCAGTGGGGGCTCGCGGATTCCATCCCCACCCCCAGGCAGAGGCACCAGGCCTTCCTGAGAGTGCTGGGCTGGTTGACAAATGTGTCCAGGGTCACAGAGGCAAGAAGAGGCACGGAAGACCTGAGTGGGATCAGTACTGACCCCCTGGGCCCGCCTTGCCCAGTGTCAGGCCCCTGGGGACTGCCTGGGATCCTCAGAGCCAGTGCTGCAGCTGCCAAAACCAGCAGGTGAACGTTTGAATGTCAGGGAAAAAAAGCTATAAAACTTTAGTATAAGTCTAAAGCAAATATTGTGTGGACATATATAAACTAGAAAAGTATTCCTGCTTGGTGACAATCACATTTAAATGGGCCTTCTGGATTTTGCCTCCTGTCATCATATCCTAGATGTTGGCCAGAGAAGAAAAAAACAGTCTTGTTCTCTTCATTTTTCTGTTATCATTTAAAATAATAATAATAATAATAATAATAATAATAATAATAATAATAATAATTGTTAACCCAAATTTGCATAGCCTTGACAGACTGTGCATGGGAATTCTCTTAAAATAACACTTGTCCCACCCCCGATCTGCCCACCTGCTAATGCAGAACCTTTTTTCTCTGTATGACCTCTGTCTGGGTCCTCCAAGACCTCCTGTGTTCTTTCAGTTCAGTGCTGACTGCCCTCTAGGCTGCAGCAGGACGCCCACCGTCTGCCTGGCCGGAGCCTGGTGGCCTGAGCCTGGTAGCCAAGGCTGTGCCTTGGCGCCCTCTGCTGGAGAAACCTAAAAGGCAACTGAAGGAGATGCCCAGAGCATGGGACTCTGCACCCAGCCCTGACCCTCCCTCCCCAGATCGTCTCTCCTAGGGATTTTCCAACTTCCTGCTTCTCCTGTCGTCTCTTCCAGAAAGCTTTGCTTGTGCCTATGAACAGGTAAACTGTGGTCCCATGCCAGCTTTGAATTCCCTCTGCCACCCAACACACAGCCTGGCCACTCTCAGGACCAGTCAGCTGTGCCCTGCCAATGCCCAGCCTGTCCCCAAGGGAGTTTCTGGGAAACCCATCCAGGGTCTGCCAGCTGAGCCTGCTCACTGATACCTCTCCCACCCACACACTCCCGAGAGCCTTGGGGGAGGTCATGAAGCCGTGGTTGAGGGTACAGGGTCTCCAGGGTCAAGGGCAAGAAGTGTGTGTGTGTGTGTGTGTATTTTTTTTTTTTAAAGAAAGACAGTTTATTTACAGGTAATACAAAATAAATCACAGGACAAGCTGCTGTTGTGCCCAGGATGTGGGATCGTGAGGGTTGGGGACAGGGACTGGCCCTCATGGTCACCACCCTCCCCATATCCCAGAGTAACTTATATTAAAAAAAAAAAAATTTAAAAGGCCCTAGCAGGGGGGAAAAGACAGGGCTGGAAGCACCGTTGCTGACTGGGGTCTGGGACCTGCCATCCTCAGCCGGCCCATCCCCTCAGGCCACAGTGCATCCTGGGTCATTTCCGGGAGTTCTGGGCCAGGCAGGGAATGGGGGGAACAAATCTCCAAGGGCATCTGTGACCATTGCAAAGGCTCCCTGGCCAAGGACCCTGGGTTAGGGCAAATAGGTGGCAGTGACTGTGGGGGCGGGCATTATTGCAGTGCTCCATCCAACTTCCTCCTGGCCCCTGGATGTGGGTCCACGCTGGCTTCCGGGGGAGCAGCTGAGTCAGGGCTGGAGTAGGGTTGGGGAATGATCTTCAAAGCGATGATGTTGTTGAGTCTACCACCTCGCGGCCATTGCAAACGGTGGGGACAAACTGGGAGCCAGACCCTGGGGAAAGGAAGCCAGGGGTCGAGGACAACCCTGAGGTGTCCGTGGAGGGCAGGGGGAGTAGCCCCCTCCCACCCTCTCCTGGTTGCTGCTGTCTTGGGGTGGTGGGGTCCCCACCTTCTCCACCCACCCCAATGCAGGATCTCAGCCAGAGTGGGCAGTTAGCTGGGGGGTGGGGGGTCAGGTGGAGAGGGCTGCTGAGGGTGTTGACCTTGGCCCAGGCTGGAGCTGGCCCTGGTGGCGGCACTGCTGAAGCGGCTGGTGGGCGCCCGGTGGCTGACCACATTCTTCTGCGGCTGGAAGAGGATGATGTGCAACTTGGGTGCGAAGAGGCAGCCGAGCACCACAGAACCACTGAGGCTGACTGACACGCACATGGTGGTGGTCTGCACCTGCAGTGGGCCGGTGGGTGAGCAGAAACGAGTCACACATGAGCTGATACGAGAGGGGACCCCACCACCTGCCTGGGCTCCCAGGGGGAGTGGAGGAGCTTGTACAAGTCCATTCCCTGAGCCTGGGGTCCACTTGCCAAGCCCCAGAGAGGATTTTTAGGAAGTGGGGAGGCAGGGATACAGCCCGGGGTCAGCCCTTTACTGATGGTTTACCAGGGAGAAAAGGATTCCAGCTATGGGAGTGAACATACAGGGGAACCTGCCCCTGTGTGTGTGTGTGTGGAAGTGTGTGTGCTGCATACCTGTGGTTGCCTGGATCTCTGTGGGTGCAGGTAAGGCATGGTGACTATGTGCAGCTGTATGCATGTACACCGCTTAAGAGTGCGGTGCACAGGTAAGGGTTCATGTGTAGACAGAGAAGTATGTGCACAAACAGGTGCATGTGGCACTGTGCATATGTGTGACTGCATAAGGGCCGGCGTGTGTATGTGCACATGCTACATATGTGTACTGTGCATGTCCTAGGTGAGGTCTTAGCCACTTATGATTGGCATGCAAATGTGAATCATTTGCAAACTCCAGCTGAGTGAGAGCAGATTCAATCCCCCATCCTGGCTTCCAGCACCCTAATAGGTGGCCCAGCAGATACAGGCAGGACAGCCAAGTCCAGTGGCCTCTGACCCCCCCCATACTATGCCACGATATCTCTGCCCAGTCCTGAAGAAAAGGCCTTTGCTGAGGCTTTTGCCTCAATTTCCTTGTCCATTTAACTGTAAGGAGCATTAGTACAGACCTTGCTCTGCATTCCCAAGCTGAGTGACCCTGGCCAGGTGACTGAACCGCCCTGAGCTTTGGCACTTACTCCCCAGTCCCTTGGTACAGTGGGACAGAGTCCCAGTTCCTGTGGAATTGGTTCTGCATCCTTATCCCCTCCTAGGTTGGGCCATAACATCCCCCTGGCCTCCTTCGGCCCACCCCTTCCCCGGGGCTCCCGCAGGTGGTGGGTACCCAAAGTGTGAGCACCTACCCTCACAGTTACCAGTAGATTCAATGAGATGCCAGGAACCTGATCCTCTACCTATCATGCCAGCCCTCCCATGTCTGTGGGAGGTGACTCACCCGGTAATCGCTAGAAGTGACGTAGAAGATGGGTAGAAACGCTAGCCAGATGATGCAGGTGGTGTACATGGTAAAGCCGATGAACTTGGCCTCGTTGAAGTTCTCAGGGCACTTGCGCGTCTTGAAGGCATAGAGCGTGCAGAGTGCGATGAGCAGCACGTTGTAGGCCAGGGAGGCGAGCATGCTAGCATCGCGGTGGTTGCATCGCAGGGTCACCACCTCCCGCCGCTCAGGAGCTGTCTCCTTACCCGTGCCTGGTGCCTCAACCACCAGCCAGGCAGCCACAATAAGTAACTGACCCGAGATGAGCGCCAAGCATATGGCCACCTGTGAGGCAGGACTGATGAAGCGTGGCCGCTGGGCACCCTCCCTGGCCCCCCCAAAAATGCGTGCGATGCGGTTGGTCTTGGTGAGCAGAGCTGAGTAGCAGACAGAGAAGGCAGTGCCCAAGCCGAGGCGCCGTAAGGTGCACACTGCCGTGGAGGGCTTGGCGATAAAGACAAAGGTCATGCAGTAGCAGAGGAAGACGCCACCCAGTAGGATGTAGCAGAGCTCCCGGCCTGAGGCCTTAACCACTGGTGTGGCATTGTGCCTCACAAACACACCCAGCACAAAGAGCGTGGCCAGGGCACCCAGGCAGGCAATGGTGACAGGCCCCACGGCCCAGGCATCGCCCCAGCGGATATATTCCTGGGGCAGCTCGAAGCAGCCAGTGAGGCTGGCGTTGGGCCAGTAGCCCAGGCCACAGTCGGCGCAGGTGAACTCATCCAGCCGGTACTCATAGGGCTGGCACGGGATGCAGAGCCAGCAGCAGACCTCGCCTGGCTGCACGCTCTTCACCTCGTTCTGCAGGCATGGCTCACTGCAGCGGGAGGCGGGCAGGGGCCCAGAGGAGGGCGAAGCCCAGGGGATGAGGCTTGTGTCCAGGGTGAGGCCTTCTGCCCAGTAGCCCACCTTCTGGTAGCGATAGCGCCCACCGCCTGCCCGCAGGTAGGTGAAGATGTTGTAGCGGCCGATGCCGTCACCAAAGCGGTCGAAGCGGACCTCATTGTGGGTGTCAGCTGGGCGAAAGGGGGCTGGGGGGAGAGGAGGGAAGGAAGAAAGAGAGCGTTGGATGGGTGGGGTGCTCCAACCCTTAGCCTAACATGGGACCCATGTCCCAGAGCCAAGGCTGCCATAAGCCCTTCCAGCCCTGTCCTAATTCTAAAGTCCGTCTTTACTTTAGTCATTTTTCTAATGAGAAATTCCAACGCCCCCCTCCCTAAATTCAAGCAATGAATCCCAGCCCTCACCACCACCACCCCTGAACCCCAACTCCAGGCATCTCCACAAACTGAGGACTTATACCATTCCCCACCCAGGCACACCCAACCCAGCCAAGAGCCCATTCTGACACTGTGCAATCCAGGCTCCAAATTCTCACTGCCAACACACACACCAGCACTCACCCCTCAAACTGAATGCAGAGACTCCACAGTTAAGTCCATCTCAGGATCCATCTCATCAACAACCACCACCCAGCGCCAGTCCCACTGCCCCCAACACTGACCCCAGGATACACTGAGTCCCAACCCCAGTGTCCATCTGCCTTCTCTCCATTCGCTGGAATGTACTCAGCAGCTGGGAGTTTATGGCCACGCCCCTTTCTCTCCTTCCTCTACTTCCATCCCAGTAAGAAGCCCGAGTTGAGGGGAGTAGCTGACAGGCTTCTGGCCTCGTGAGTGAGTGGGACAGCTAGAATTTCAGCCCTCCCAAGCCCTGATCTTTCCATCTCAGCTGCAAAGTCTTCAACAGCTGTCTCAAGTCCATCAATACCACCTAAGCCCAGCAGGTGGAAATCAGTGTTAACACCAACTCGGTGGGACCCCCCGACTCCAGCCCTAGCCTGTGACTCTAGCGTAGCTCACAGGGCAGTCTCACCATAAGCTCTCTGTGTCAGTAGATCCCATAGCCAATCTCATCACAGATATGAGACTCCAAAAACTTCCCATTAGGCCCATGGTGGTGGCATGTGTGAAACATGCATAAATCTTTACCCCTCCTTGTTATTATTCTCTGATAAATCCAGTAATAAGAACTTACATAGCACCCACACTGTGTTGGGTATTAATCCGGAAACGATTTAAAGTGTAAAGGTGGATTATGTGTGAGTTTTATACCAACACAATGCTATTTGCTACAGGAACTTGAGGGCGCCTGTATTTTGGCCTCCCTGGCCAGTGGACATCTCTGGCACAGTGGGCAAGGTTCAAGCAGGGTCCAGAGACCCTCATGGTACCAAAAGCCCACTCACTGCTCAGCCTTAGCTCCAGCTGGAAGCCTGGCTGCCTCCTGGCCTGGCTGAGTCCTCTACTTGCCATCACACTATGCTTTCTTAGGCAAGAAACAGAATCTTAGGTCCTGCCCCTCATCATCCTTCAAGGGCCAGCAAGCCGATGGACACTGGCCAGCACTATTACCATCAAACTTGACATTGAGCACGAAGTCCTTGTAGAGGCGGCGTCCATTGACCGGCCGCATAGCATCACAGAGGCGGGTGGTATTGGGGCAGAGAGCGCGGTGCATGTTATGCAGAGCGTGGGCCATGGCATACACGGCGTTGACCACAAACATGATCTTGGATTCCTGCTCAAAGGGCACTGCCCGCAGGGAGTGGGCTGCACAGTCCCGCTGCCGGAAGCTACAGCGGAACCTCTGTTCCCAGAACTCGCGGAACCAGGGATTGCGGCTGTTGTTCCAGGGGTCCAGGCTACGAAAGTAGGAGGCAAAGTCACTGATGGGGTAGGAGGCCAGCTCGATGGTAATGGCGCCCTCGGCAGCCCCCTCGCTGCCGGCTACCACACTCTCCAGGGCCCCCCAGCCGTCACTAGCCACCCATATGAAGCTGGCGTTGAGCCGCTGGGAGGCGGCAAGCAGCTCTCGGGCATCCTCGGAACGGGTGAACAGGACAGCCACGCGGGCGCTGGGCTTCTGCAGCAGGGCTCGCACCACACCCTCAAACGCCGCCCGGCTCATCGCCCGGCCCACTTTCTCCGAGGTGGCCACGCAGATATTGCGGGCTCGGGCCTCCAGCTCAAAGGCCTCAATCCCAGTCTCGCCGTAGTCACCCTCTGAAGCTACGGTGGACACATAGGTCCAGTTAAAGAAGCGGAGGATCTCAGCCATGGCCTTGGCTTGGAAAAAGTCAGGGGGCACGGTGCGGGCAAAATAGTCGTAGCGGGACTTGTCACTCAGCTTGGCGCTGGTGGAGGCGTAGCTGATCTGCGGGATCTGGAAGAGCCGGAGGAGATTTGCCACCTGCGGGGAGGGGCGAGCAGGGCAGAGAGCAGAGGCTGGGTCAGGCATCATATCCAGTGGCCCTCAGGGTCAAGTGTCCACAAGGTTAGCCCTGAGCCATCCCCTGCTGAGTAGCCTTGCATCTTGGACATGATGAGACTCCAGAGGTGGAGGTGGGAGTTGGGGTAGGGAAACGGGTCCCTGAAATACCAGGACGGGAGAGTCTCAGGGCTCAGACATCACCACTCTGCTACCCCTCTAGAACTCCTGACCAGGAGCTAAATGGGGAGGGCAGTCTGGCTGGCAGCCGGGCTGCTGCCTGGGTGCAGCAGGAGCAGAAGAAGGTCCTGAACAGCATAGGAGAAGCTTGGGGCTTTCAAGCTCTCTGCTTACCCCCCGGGTAGGTGTCCATCCTGAGGGGAGATGGAGACAGAAGAAAAATCATCTCCCCTAGGAAGGGAGACCCAGACCCAAGTGCTGTGGAGACCCCAGGTCCTCCTCGGCCTTGGATGCCGGAGCCGGAAATGAACAGGCTCCTCCAAGCCCATCCTTGGGTCCCCTGCCCAGTTTCTCAGCTCTGCCTTACGCAGCTGCTAAGTGAATAAAAACAATAGACCATCCGGGCTAGCTCTATGGAGGGTGATAGGAACTGGTGCAAGAGATAGGGCAGGAGGAAGGAGGAATTAGTGAAAGATAGGCTCTGAAGGATGAGAGGCTGGCTTGTGGTGACCAGGACAAGGAAAAAGAGAGCCGATGCTGTGGTTAGCCTACCCACCCCTCCTTTTCCTGAGGGTGCAGGTAGCTAATGAGGCTCCTATAGACAAATGCACTAGGCCTAGAAGAGAGCTGTGGAGACCCCTGTGCACAGCAGGAAGCTGCCCACCTGCTCCACACCCAGTTAGGGCTTCAGGTGTGGATGCCATCCCAGTTGCCACCTGGCCCTCTCCACAAACCGGATCCGGTAGGAGAGATGACCACTCTCAGCAGCAGGGAAAAAATGGCCAGGCTGGAGGCTGAGCCCAGGGCTCTGATGTTTGTTTGTGCCTCATTTCTTCTGAACTATGTGCCAGGTCAAGGGTCCTAACCCTCTGCTGGTGGCAGTGCCCTCTGCCAGCCTCCTAAACAAGCAGTACCCCGGCACAGGCCCCACCCACAGGCCCCAACCCTAAGCCCAGTTCTGGCCTCATTTTCCTATCCTCAGCACCCTGCAGGTGGGGACATGGGTGAGAGGTGACAACCTGACAGAGAGGGGAGGTCTCCAACTTAGACCAGAGCAGCCAAGTGTGCCCAGGACGGGTGAGTGTGGGGCAACAAATGGACATCACTTGGGCCGACACCTTGTGCTAATAGCGAGAAATAGGGTTTTAGTGAGACCTCTTCTGGGAGAGAAGGAGGTGGGGGGCCAGTTCTCCTTCTCAGATCTTGTACCCTCCATTCAGTACCTACCTCCCGGCCTCCCCAACCCACTCCCTCTGCTGTCCAGACACAGACACACACACACAGCTTTTCTTCCTCCTGGCTCCTGTCAACCTGGCCCATTCCTGGCTTTCCCTACTTTTCTCCTGTCCCATCCAGGGACAGAGGATCTGCCTGCCCGGGAGGCCCCTGGCTGAGAGAGCCTGGAGGTCCTCTCTCCTCTCCCCCAGTGGTCTCTGTATATATGAGATGAGTCAATAAGGACGGCAGTTGGACCCCTCGTGCTCTTGCAATAGACACCATGTCACCAGTTTCCACCACCAACCCCCAAACAGGAAATGTGCCCTGGGTGCCATTTTCTCAGGGGAAGACAAACATGTGGAGAAGAGAAACAGCCTGTCTAGAGCCATGCAGTTGGCCAGTGGGGGAGCCAGGATTCGAACCTCCAGAGACTTTGAAGTCTTTTGGGGCTCCATATCAGGTGGGGTGTGTGTGTATGTGTGTGTGTGTGTGTGTGTGTGTGTGTGTGCGATTGTTTCTCTCATACAATCTCCAGTATTCAGCCCTTGTTAGGTGTCAGGGGCACTCTCTAAAGTCTTCTGCAGAAGAAGAAGAAGGAAAAAAAAAGTTTCTAGTCTCCTTTCCAACAGCAGCCCAGGAGCCCCACTCCACAGAAATTTTGAGTCAACCACCAACTCCCTCCCTAGTCCCCCTCATTTCGGGCCACTCCTGTTGCATACCTGGATGGATACGTCGCTGTAGGAGCCGCCAATGACCCCAGTGATGGCAGTGGGAGCATCCCCTTGCGTGGCGTAAGAGCCGTCGGGGCAGATGTGGCGTGAGCCATCAGCCCCACGGCTGAGAGAAGCCCGCACAAAGTCCAGTGCCTGCTCCAGGGCATGTGTGTCCTTGGAGCAGCTGTCGAGGATGTGTGCCCCCAGCTTCACGCCAGGGAGCAGGTGGGGGTCACGGTTGATGCGGTCCAGCGCAAAAAGCATGGCCTCCAGGCGCTGGATGCCACGGTGCTCGTTGACTGGACCGCAGTCCTCTGCTGGGCCACCCTTCTGGTGCACTGGGAACAGCCCGCCCAGGACCAGGTCTCCTTCCAGTGTGAGCACCTTCTTGGCGGGACCCTCTGCCACAGCGCCCCACAGCAGCAGCAGTGTCAGGAGCCCAAGCATCGAGCCCATGGCCCCCTGAGGGGATGGAGGTGTCCGGCAGACCTGAGTCTCCGGCGGGGGTGGAAGGAAGAGGAAGGCAGGAAGCAGCAAAGGCAAGAAGAAGAGGGAACAGGGTGGACAGATAGGAAGAGAGGCAAGAAGGGGTCCAGCTCCTGCAGAGAGATAGAGACAGAGAAACAGACCAGAAGAAATGGTGCCTGAGAGGGGTACTCATTCATCTGCTGCCACTCCCCACCCATTGCCCCAGGGGAGCCAGAGGCAGAGTGGGGCTAAGCTGAGTTGCTGCTGGGATGCCCCGTTTCTCAGTCCCAACCTAGGCTGCAGACAGGCTCTGAACCCCTCCCAGAAGAGGAGCAGTGGGAAGAGGTGGGGGGAATGTTGGCCCAGGCAAAGGGCAGGAGCCTCAACCATGCCAAGCTTTCTGTGGATCCTAAAGTGTCTGAGGGTGTGCACAAACCTCACAGGATCCCGAGGTCAATACTGCTGCGGCAGAGGCTATGCCAGTTACTGACCTGTGGCCTGGGCGGCGGTACTCACTCCCCAGACAGAACTGTAGATTTCTTGGGGAGGAAGCCGTTGTAACCTCTCCACAGGCATCAGGAGGGAAGGCTCTAAGACACCTTCTCCCGCCCCTGGGGAGCTGGGGGTCTGGGGAAGCCCTCACAGTGTCCCAACCTCTGGCTCTGCCTGAGCCATCCCTAGTCTCCTGCCTGAGGAAGGACCAGGGAGCCCAGGCCCTGGGAGTGATGCCGACATAGTGTGGGGAGCACCAAGCAGCAGCCACAGGTCCTCCGGGTCAGCAAGGCAGGTAGACATGCACATCTGTGGCAGAGGGCAGAGCTGTTTGCCAGGTTGGACCCTCCAAACTGGCTGAGTGGCTGTGTTGGATGTGACTCGTTGCCTCTGTGTCTCTTTCACTCCAAATCCAGCAAGGAAAGGCATCCTTTCCAATCTGCCCAGGACTGATCTCAGGGCCTGGACCACTCTGGGCCTGCCCCTGGGAGACCCTCATTCACCCTGCTTCTTCTCAGGTGCATCCCACTTGTCTTCCCAGATACCCACCCCACACAGGCTCCTACGATCACCAGGCTTGGCAAGGAGGGGAAGGAACACAGACAGGAAAGGAAACTGAGGTTGCAGAAGGGCAACCCCACATTCAGGGGCCCCTTGTCTGTCCTCTCAGTTTTTCAGGACCAACCCCACTGTGGTGCCAGGCCAGGCTTAGGCGGGGACTCAAAAAGGAGCGGCTCAACTAGGTAATCAGGAGAGTAAAAGACCCACTCCCCACCCCCACCCCCCGGATGGGAACAGGGACCCAGATGGAGGCTGAAGCCATCATGGGTTAGGGAAGGTCAGGACCCAAAGCTCAGGAGCAGGGCAGGGGGACAGACCCTTGGAGCACCATCCCCCACCCCCCGGGGCAACTGGGGTCCTTAGCCACAAACATCTGAACGGGGAGCAAACGATTCCTAGGGCCTGAGACAAAGACAGAGGTACAGACAGAAAGAAGGACTGGAGGACGATGAAGCAGGTGGAGGAGCCGGGCAGTGCGATGCAGGACGTGCGTTCTCTGGGGGAAGAAAGGCGGGACGCGGGGGCTGTCTTCCTGCTCCCTGGAGCTCTCAGAGAGCGAGGGCAGTCTGCACACCCCGGCTCCGGGGCGCCCAGAACTCGCAGGGCCTCGGGACGTGGGGTCAGGGCCAAAAAGGTAGACAGCGGCCGCGGCACCACGGGCTCACCCTACCTGGCGCGCCGGGCTCCGGCACGGAGAGAATCGGAGCGAGCAGGGGGCGCGGGGTTCCAGCTCCAGCTTGCTGGCTCGCTGGCTGGCTGGCTCTGCGCGCTCCGCCCGCCCGCCCCACTGCTTTCAATCGCCGCCCGCCCCGCCCCCGGCCCCGGCCCGCCCCCAGTCCCTCCTCCTTTTCTCCCCACTCTGGGTCTCTTGCTCCCAGCCGGGCCTCCGTCTCTCCCCCTCCACCCGGGGACCCCCTCCACAGCCCCACACCCTGCGCCACCCACAGCTCTCGCTCTTGGCGGGATCGCCAGGTCCGGAGCTGTCCGCCGCGTGGTGCTGAATATCCGGACGCTCCCGCTCAGCGCTGGGAGCAAGTGCCTCCACCGCCCCCTCCACCCAGAGCCCCAGAATGCTGCGAGCACAAGGATTGGGGCACCGGGATGGGAAGGTCACTGGGGCTGGAAAGGTTGTGAACGCTGCCGTGGACTCCCAGCTGCGAGGGCTGAGGCGCTGACTCCAGTATTGCAGGGTGCTACTGGGCGGGGGACAGGTGGAGTGCTGGGCCTGTGGCTGCAAGTCGGCCTCTGACCTCACATCCATTCTTTCCACCCAGGGACTGCAGCTCGGTCCACAGGCCAAGCTCATTTGAGTCATTAGGGGCAAAAGACTTGGGGGAGGGGAAGGTCAGCAGAGAATGGGACTGTAGTTTCCTTCCTGTGGATGACCTTTAAAATGGCTCTCCCTCCCCCAACACACACACACATACACACGCATTAATGCCCCCCACCCCTGTGCAAAGCACATTTATGGCAAAGAGATATCGACAAGGGTCAGAAGAGGGCAGAGTGCTGCTGGGCTGGGGAAGGGGTTGTCACCCCTGTGAGGACATGCAGGGGGAATCTGGGAAGGGAGGGAACTGCGTGTAGCAGAGTGAGAGCCAGAGCCGAGCAGAAGGAGGACAGCTCCAAGAAGATGCTTTCAATGTTCCCCTCCTACAGCAGGATGGAGGACACCCCTGGACAGGGGATGCTAGGTAAAGCCACAGGGCCAGACTGTCTCAAAGGATTTGGCAGAGAGGGCTGGTGCCTGATCCTGCCCCAGCACCTGTCTCTCTGCCCCCAGCAGCACACATCCACAAGTGCTAGGGGGCACAGCAACCTACATCCGTTGTCCTCCGGGCTGTGTCCTTTCCCCACAGGTGTCAGGAGAAGCAAAGCAAGTTCAGACAGGTGCCGATGAAAGCACCAAGCTCTGGCCCGCAGGCACACACAGCCCCTGCATGTGCCGGTGGCAGTCAGAGGCAGGGGTCGCCAACAACAGGGCTTTCCCCAGAACCCAGAAACCTGAGTCCCTGCTGCTTTGGAAAAGAACACAGCTTTGAAACAAGACAGACACACCAAACCCCAACACACACCAGTCTAAACTGCTAATGGTAGACAAGGTGGCAGAGCGGGGCGAGGGTTCAGAGCTGCCAGACAGGGCTGGGGAGATAGACCTGCTGTCTTCCAGCTCTGACTCCTTCACCGGCTGCTCTCACCCTCTCTGGCTGGCTCGGAGCGACTGCACCTGGGAAGACTGAGCGATGGCATGGGCCCCCGGAGCAGAGCAATCGACAGCAGGAGAGTGCCGAGGTGAGAGGTGCGACACAGTGATGCAGCACACAAAAGGTGCAGGGCTTGCTACAATATGGCGACACCCCAGAAGGCCATGACGCAGCCAGCAGCAGGTGAGCTGTGGAGCCTCACTGCAGTGCACAGCCATACAGTCACACACCAAGCTGTGTACACAGACATATGCTTACCTTTCCACCCTTGGCTGTGTGTGTGTGTGAGCACACAGGCACACATATACTGTACCATTTACAGCTTTACAGATGCACACACAACCACAAACACTCAGCTTCTACCCACGAGTACACAATCTTACACATACATGATACACAGATAGAGTCACACACATGGAACTGTATAGGGACCAAAGTCCCCAGATATTTCCCCTGGCTCTCCTGGCTCACACAGTCCTGCAATATACCCTCACACACAAAGCCAGCAGCACACGCACACGCTCTTCACACAAATGCACGCCCAGTTGTGATCCCATGCTGATTGTCCACTAGCTTCCCCCAGCCAGGACCACTACCTGCAGTCCATGTGTGGTGCAGAGAGCATGCCCACAGGCATGCCAGTGATGGCAGGCACAGCAGTGACGCCCCCACCTGCTGGGGAGGTCCCAGCGTGAGCACAGCCACAGACACAAAGGCATCCTTGCAAGCAGACAAAGGCAGGTGTCGTGCTCCCCACGGCTGAGCCCTGAACGGGGACGGGACCGTGCTTAGTTCACACACAGCCTGCTCTCCTCATTCTCCAGTGGCATGTGCAAATGCAGGAGCAGCTGTCCCTTGGGGTCAGAGCATGAGGGGCAGGGCCTCTGACATCCTATTCCATAATTCCAGGGGTACCTGGCCATGTTCCTTCCCATCCTGGGACTTGGGGGAATGGGTAGGGATAAGGCGGTCCAGCCCACTTTAGGCCGATCAGTAGAAGGCTTCTCAAGGTAAAGGAACTAATAACACAACCCAAATCCAGGTGAATCAAGAAAGTCTTTTGTTTTATTCTGGGTTCTGGAAGCTCCAATGCTGAGTCTTGAAAAAAGGTAACAGGGGCAACAGCCCCAGGAGTTGGTGCTGCTAATAGTCCCTGGCTCCTCTGGCCCTAGCGAACCAGAGAAGGCAATGAGGAGAAGGCTTAGCTACAAACCTAGGGTTGTGGGGTGTCAGTTCCCCCAGTACACCCAGTGCTGGCCGGAGAGCCTGTTCAGTTCTTTGGCAACCGCACCTAGGGAGGGTGCAGCCTGCAGGTTGCTCTTGGCCCTCCCTCAAGGGTACTGGGTTCCAGAAGTGGCCCCCACAGGCTTCACCTCGGGGTCCAGCCGAGGCTCCCCCAAGGGCCCCTCGCCTTCCAGATCCAGCTCCTCAAAGGATGAGCCACTGGCACCTGACTCGCTGTAGCTGTGCTCACTGCGGGTGTCGCCGTCATCCCAGCCACCGCCACCACTGCGGCTGCTGCGGGCCCCGGGCAACACGGTGGAAGCCTCGCGGCTGCTGGGCTGCACCTCCAGGCTTACGGAACTCGTGTCACTCATCGTGTCTGCTCCTGCAGCGGGGAAAGGGGAGCACAGCTTAGCCAGGAGCCCCCCACCTCTCGTAGAAGGCGGGGTCCAGCCACCAGCTTGGTCTATACAGTCCGTTCATGAATAATACAGCCTTCCCGCCTCAGGAGGTTCCTGTCACTGCTGCCCTCCGGCCTCTGCCCTCTGTTCTGCCCTCCCCCTGGCCTGTCTAGTGCAGTCCTGATAGGGCCCAGGGAGAGGGGAAGAGGGGGAGAGGGGGAGAGGGGGAGAGGGAGGGAAGCAGGAAAGGAGAAAGGAGAGCAGCTGGCTGCGCACACTCCTCCTCTCTTCCCCGAATTAGCCCCAGCTCCCTGCACTCCCACAAAGCCTGCTGCCCTCCCTCCACACCCATTAAGGGCCACTGCCGGAGGTGAGGAGCTGAGGGAGGACAAAGAGACCGAGCGGTGTCCCCTTCATCCCTCCTTTCAGGCAGGGAAGAGTCCTGACTGGAGTCGGTTACAGAGCACTGACTGCAGGGCACGAGGACTGGGAAACCAGCCCGTTCTCCAGCCCTCTTCTCCCATGTAGACTACTGTGGGGAGCAGCTGCATGTGAAAGGGTGGTTGGCCCTGCCTCTGGCCCACTCTGAGACCCCCTGCCTGAGAAGGGAACTGAGGCTCAAGCAGGAGAGACATGTTCCAAGAAACACTGAGCTGCCTCAGGAAGGAGGGTGGCAAGCACCAGCTTAGCCAAGAGCCTTTACCTGTCCCGCCTACCCAGCACTGGTGCCAAGAGGTCATGGGAGCACCTGCTAGTGGTGGAAGCTCCCAGATTCCCCTGGCCTACTCCTTGAACTACCCTTCCTACAAGTTTCAGCCAGTGGCCACTTCACCTGCCGTGACCAGGAGCAATGAGAGGCGCCCAACCAGGGCTTCAGGGTGCAGGCAGCTGGACCAGAAAGAGGGTGTATGCATTCATCCTCATGGGGCTGGTGGCGGGGGGAGGGCAACTGTTGAGTGTCCTCCTCTTCCTTACTGCCCCTCAGCCCCCCTACCCTGGCGCCTGACTCCTGAGCCAAGCGCAGCTGGAGTCTGCTTGGTCTTTAGGTTCTGCCTAGAGCTTTCCTTGAACCTCAGCTGGGGCCTGGGTTGGGGTGGGGGACTTGGGGTGTGCTCCCCCAGAAGATGTCCTCTAGGCTCTACTGGCAGAACAGAGGGGAGGCCTGCAAGTGCCCAGATGTTGGCCGGGGTGGGGGTTGGTCCTGCTTGTTCTGGGCCCTTGGGAGGAAGGAGGAAGGCAGAAGGCATGTACCATGCAGAGGAGGAAGCAGGGCGGGGCTGAGCCTCTGGCCAGGCAAGGTTCCATCTGACAGCAGGCAGCCCTGAGGCCCCTCCCTAGCTCCTTCAGTGATGACCCAAGGACCCAGAGGCCACAGGTCTGAACAGCACAAGCGAAGGGACCGGCTTCTTCTCAGCCCCATGAGAGTGCCAGTTCGATCTGCACCCCTGCCCCTTACCAATGGCTCTCCTGAGACCACAGGCTAGGATGGGGTCTGCCTGCTTCTTGAAAGACTGCCTCCTCCCTCCCAGCTTCTGGGCTAGTGGTAATCAGAGAAAGGAGGCTCTTCTGGACTTCTGCAGGGCAGGGCTCACCATCCTGGGATGCCAGCCCCTGGGGACAGGGGCAGGGCGGGGCCGTCCCTCTAGTCCACCCTGCTCTAATGAGAGGAGGTCTCTGGGCCCTGAGGCTGTGTCCCTTTTCTGCCTAGGTGGCAGGAAATGCAGAGGAGCCTCCCAAATCACCACGTTGCTGGGGCAGGGGCTGTGAAGCCACCACCTTTCCCTCAGGCCCTCCCTTCCACCCTGCCCACAGCCAGTGCCAAGATCAAATATTCATCGCCTCTCTGGAGCTAAATAATACATCAATGTAATAACAGGCGTGAGGCAGTTAATCACCCCCTTTCACCTCTCGCCCAAGCCATGGCCCCAGCAGG